TTGCTGCCTTCAAGGAGCTCCCAGTCAAGCAAAGAGTTACAGTAATGTGCGCTCTGTGTATAATTAAGTACCCAGAAACACGCCTCTGCTACTTGTTAGAGCAGCCGTCCTCTAAGCTTGAATGAAGGGTTGTAAGGCTTAACCGCGGGCGCCTTCTCTCATGGCTGGCTCTGTGATGGAAAGCCAAGATGCATTCAGGAAGGAATGTGGAAATCCCCAGAAAGGAATGAGGAAATCCCCAGGCTGCCAGTGGGATCACTGGTACCCATCTGTTTCCTCTTCTAATCTGTTCTGAGCCGATAATGGTTTTTATAGAGCCATACTGTTCTCTTATTTTGCCCGACAGCTCTGTCCTACACATTTATACTTGAAAAGCCACAGCTAGATAAGGAAGTTCAGCTGCAAAGCACCATTTGACTTACAGAGGGGCTTTTTTACACCAAAGGACTGAAAAGGTACCTTGAGAGTCTGTCTCTCCCTTCTCTGCTTCAGCTTTTCCAGGGTATTTTGTTTGGTGATCCCTGGCTGTACAGATACATAAAACATTTCAACTAAATAGGATTTCATCTTTAAAGTACTAAGTTCACAACTGATAGAACAGAAAGTGTGTCTGGAAGGGATAGAAATTTTGGTCAAATTGAAGATTAAGTGTTTCAAAAAATTTTGGGTGGGAAAAGATGGTTCTTTTTCCCCCAGCTAGTCTTACCTCTTAATGGCTGAGGTACCAGAAAGGTATAAAAGAAAATGAGCAAACTTGCAATCAAGTCAGAGAATGCTCGATTAAACCTGAAAGAGGCCTTAAAACTTGATTAATCCAACCCCATTATTTTCCACATAAGGAAACTGAGACTCAATTTGTGTTACATCTCACAACTGGACAGTGGAAGTATTTACAAACAATCCTATGCGAAACATACCCAATAGTTATACTGCTGAAAAAAGGAAACTTTCTAATGATATGGAACATTTTTAGCACAGGTAGAAATAATATATGAAGTATTGAATTGTGTTTCAAAACTTGAATTCCCATCCCACTTTGCCTCCAGGTGAGGAGAGAGGAACCCCAACTAGAAAGAGATAACACATAAGCACAGTCCAAGGAAATTCTACAATGCCTGGATGTTAGGGCACAGAGATGGTGCAGTAAAGTTCTCCCTCCCTCAGAGGGGAGGAAGCAGCTTGCCTATTGTGCCTTGACTGCTTCTTCAGTTGGTGCTGTCACCAGCCTGGTGTGGAGGAGACTGGCCCAGCAGTTCCCTTTATATGTAGTATGACTTCACTGGAAGGACTGTTTTTGTTTTTGTTTTCTAGAGCATTTGTTCATTGTCAGTGTTGGCACCAGAGATCGTAGTTCAGTCAGTCATCCTCCTGTGCTCTGTTGTGGGTCACTAAACTCCAGGTACAAGTCAATAATCTGGGAAGTCCACTTAAGGGGGAAGCAACCAGAGTCTACTTTGGAAGTATAAGTAGAGGTTAATGTTGCATGTTGGGTGCAGACCAAACTGTGAACCTGCATGTGAGTTTAGTATGAGGCAAGAGATTGGAAGGAAGGGGCTGTCATTGGGAAGGACTGCCTAAGATATGGCCCTGGAGATCCACCAGAAGACTTGGTAGAAAGGGACTATATCAGATGCTCAGTAGGAGGAAGAGGAAGTGGTACAGAAGCTGCTGTCCATGGTGCCACTCAGGAACTCCAGCTCTCTTTTGCAGATTGCAGGAATAGAGTTATTAATAGCCTGACTAGCTGGGGTCTACTGGTTATGGGGGGTGGGGTGGGGGACAGCTGGGAGAAAGTTGGTATGGGTTAGGAACTGAAGCATTGAAAATATTATTATAAACAAGGGGAGTGAGTATGGGAGGTCATGGAGTACAATGCTTTATTCTTTTTTAAACTGTGGTAAAATACACACAACATAAAATTTACCATTTTAGACACTTTAATTCAGTGGCATTAAGTCCATTCACAATGTTGTACAACCATCACCACTCTCTGGTTTCAGAACTTTTTCATCACCCCTGACCGAGTCATAGGCTCGATCCCCAGAAGGTGTTATGCAGGAGGCAGCCAATTGATGTTTCTCTCTCATCACTGATGTTTCTCTCTCTCTATCTCTCTCTCTAAAAATCAATAAAAACATTTTTTAAAAAACTGCTTATTTACCAAAAATTGAGGTAACACAACATAATCATCTCCTCTGATAGGTGCTGAAGTAGGAAATTTGACTTTTGCCTTCAAGGCTAGATGAAGAGGTTAGAGATAACTATATATTCAAAGATTGATTATAGGTTAGAAGCTTTAAAATGCTATTGGAATTCAGAGGAGAAAAGTCACTAATAGTTGTTAGATGCTTAACGAATATTTGCATGAATGAATGAATGAATAGTTGAACAGTCAAATACATAGCTGGCCTATGGAAGAAGAACTTGATGGGTCAATTTAATAAGTACCACTGTACAAAATACAATCTAGTCATTAAGATGCAGAGCAATCTATTAGGTGGAGAACAGAAACTGGATTTTGATGATTTTTTTTAGATGGCTAGTCCAAAACTTTTGGAAAATACTTTCATTAAGGAGATGTAAAGAAAGATAGACTTGGGCACAATACAGGAAGAATTTACTATTAACATTGGAAGGAAGGTGACAGTACTGTATGTGTCAAGCAGAGGCCATTAAAGTTCTTTGAGATAGAGAGAAAATTATTGATCAGATGGAGCCAAAGGAGACTTTATTGCCAAATCGTTCCACTTTGAAAAAAATCCATTTCTCTACTCCTATCTGTGAATTTAATGAATTATTAGTTGATGAGTTGATAGGAATTATTCTTTTTCTTTTTTAATATATTTTATTGATTTTTCACAGAGAGGAAGGGAGAGGGACAGAGAGTTAGAAGCATCGATGAGAGAGAAACGTCAATCAGCTGCCTCCTGCACATTCCCCACTGGGGATGTGCCCGCAACCCAGGCACATGCCCCCAACTGGAATCGAACCCAGGACCTTTGAGTCCGCAGATCAACGCTCTATCAACTGAGCCAAACCAGTCAGGGCGATAGGAATTATTCTTAATTTCCCTCTCTTTCCACATGCCCTTCCTCTCGTCACTCTCTATCCCTGTAACCTGTTTTGTTTTTCTTCATCACACTTGTCATTACCTGATATTATATCTGTTGTTTATTCACTGTCCCCCCAACTAGAATGTAGATGCAGACCATTTGTTCACTTCTGTATGCCTGGCACACAATTGATGCTCAATAAGCATTTGCTGAAGCTTTAGAATAACAATAAATAACATACGTATAAATAGCTGTACAGTTTTTCCTAAATATAAAAGTAGTACTTCTTTCTTGTTAATAAAATACAGAAAAGTATAAGGAGAGGATTTAAAAATTGGAGGAATTTATCAACAACAACTTATACCCCTGGGAAATGTGCTTGATTGAGTTCATGTTAAAGTTTTAGGTTTTTGGGCCCCATCAAGCCAGTAAATAATAAAGATTTAACCCTATCTGTGTGTTTTTTGTTCTTTGTTTTGTAATGTACAAAAGATGCTGGTAAGGAAGGATGGCTCCATGGGGATTACCTCTGGGAACACAGAATCCAAAGCCGAACAATGGGCTCTTACGTTATCTGGGCAATCTGTTTTGTACCTCCTGTAATTGGTGACATATAATTAGGCCTGCATATTACTTCTGAACACTGCACTTCATTTAGCTGGGCTTATGGAGATTAGATCATGCACAGGAAGCTGGCTCCTTGGTTATCGAGCTCCATGGAGCAGTTGGGAGGCTTAAGGAGGGTGAAAAATTAGGGTTGATTTAAAGGGACAGGATTCTCTGGAAAAGCACAGAGATTTTTCCACTTTGTGCCTCTATGACCTTTAGTTTCCCATAAGCAGTATTGATTCTTGCCTCAATACTTTCTGTAAAAAAGGGCCTCTTTAAGCTTTCCTTTCCTCACCCTTTAAAAAAGGCTGCTAATACTGACATTGTGAGATTGTTTTCATTTTCATGAGCTAACTCTTTAAAGAATATAACAGTACCTAGAGAAGATAAAACCCCAGCACAGTTCCTGGAACACATACTAAGAGTATAATCATTGTCAGTTTCTTTTCCCCCCCGCTCCTTTTATCCACTGTTATCACTGTCCACATTATCGGGCTTTAATTAATTTATTGTAAAATAATTACATTTTGAAATCCTAGTATGTTTGACTGGAGTTTTGAATAGTATTTTGCACTTCTTAGGATACTTTAAGTTACCCACCTTGAGTCATTGTTATTATAATTGTTTACTTGTTTTATTCTTGTTAGATCACAAGCAGTCTGAGAGATGACTCTTATTCATTTTTATATTCACTACCTAGGACAGTACTTTGATCCCAGTGGATATTCAAAAAATATGTACCATAATTATTGTTAATAAAAATCAGCATCCCCACACACTTACCCTATAAGGCCAATGCAGATCTAGATACACAGCATAACTTCTTTGAACATTTATTGACTTGGAGAGAATAGGACATACCATTTTGCCAGTAACATTTTAAGAGTGACAGATCTAGAGCAAGCTATGTTTTTTTGTGTTGTTTTTTTTCCAAACTAGGTTTAACTTTTTCTATATGGCATTGATTGCTTGTTAGTTTCTAAGAGCAGGGCCTTCAGCAGTAAGAGAATTATTGTACAGATGAATAATAGGCAGATTAGGAGACTCAGAGGTAATCAAAAGTAGGAAAGTAAGGGGTCAGAAAATGGGTCAATTTACCCATTTTGCTCAGCAGTTTTTTAGGCTGTGCACACAAAAGAGCTGCAGCCCAGTCTCCCTCCATGTGTTTCAGCCTGTCTGTCAATCTCAAATGGTTTCATTGGCCTTAGAGCTAAAATTGTTTGTCTTAGCACTAGTGTGTTGCTTACGGTAAGACTCTGAGCCCTGGTAATAAGTGTATGCTGTTTGATTCCCATTCCTCTGGCTTTGCAGTTACTCTCTCCTTTTCCTTTTCCCTAGGTGTACGTGGTGGGGAATGAGCCTTTAACAGTTTTGGTGGATTCCCTGCTTCCCGTCCTGGGAGTGCTCTTTTCTCTCTACTGCTTTACCAAGCAGAGCGTGTCTCACATAAGGTAAACAACCAGAGAAACTTACTTGTTTATAAATAGTGAAGTCTTCTCTTGCATGTTGCTCTTGTTCTTATTTTGAATTTAACATGTCACCTTATAATTAACTAGAGGCCCGGTGCACAACATTTGTGCACTCGAGGGGAGTGGGGGCGTCCCTCAGCCCGGCTTGCTCCCTTTAGCAGTCTGGGAGCCCTTGGGGAATGTCTGTCGGACATTCTTAGGGCTGCCACAGAGGCGGGAGAGGCTCCCACCACTGCCGTTTGTGGCTGAGTAGCGCTCCCCCTGTGGGAGCACACTGACCACCAGGGGGCAGCTTCTGCATTGAGCGTCTGCCCCCTGGTAGTGCACGTCATAGTGAACGGTCATTTCACCATTCAGTCAATTTGCATATTACCCTTTTATTATATAGGATTTTTTCTTTTCAGTCAGGAAAGCATTTGAGAACCTTCTTATTCTGCTCATCTAGAAAAGAGAGAGCTTTGTAAATTGCAGGGGATTGGGTGTAGGTTTTAAAATGACTTGCCTCAGCCTCAGTCCTAGACATCAGAGATGAATATTTACATGTATGAACATGCCCCTGTTTAACCAGTGAAAAATACTGGAATTACATGTCTAGGAAGGAGGAAATAGAGGATGGTTCATAACTACCTCATGGGGAGCTAGGAATCAAGCTCGGGAAATCTGGATCTGAATATAGACTCTGTAATTTAGACTTGGATTTGGTGTTAGTGCTGCACAGGATAGTTTAGAATGAAGGGGTTTCTTAGTCATCCAGAAAATAACCTTTTGTATTGGGATTTAAGTAGGACTCCTTTTTTATCAGCTCTATTTTCACAGCTACTTATGTGGTTTCTTTCTCCTTATAAGAGTTTATATCCTTTCTAAAATCATACAGAATTCTGATTTTTGGTGTTTGGAAATAACCTATATGTAATCTGATATATCATAATGGTACCTTCTTCATTGAGTTATTATGAAGATTAATTGTGCATTAAACTGTTTAGCAAATAGAAAGCTACCATCATCACCAGGGGGTGAAGGAAAGTATAGTTGACCTTTGCATAACATAGGTTTGAACTGTGTGGGTCTATAGACAATTTTTTTCAATAAATACCTGTACTGTTTTCAGGCTGTGCTTGGGATCTGTGGATGTGGAGGGCTGACTGTACATTAATCTATTCCACTTTATTTATTTATTTTTTATCCTCACCCGAGGATATTTTTCCATTGATTTTTAGAGAGAGTGGAAGAGAGAGGGAAAGACAGAGAGAAATATCCATGTAAGAGAAACACTTCCATTGGTTGCCTCCTGCACACGCCCAGACCAGGGCCCGGGCTGGGGAGGATCACGTAAACTGAGGTACATGCCCTTGACTGGAATCGAACCCGGGACCCTTTGGTCCAGAGGCTGACGGTCTATCCACTGAGCCAACTGCCTAGGGCAATCTGTGCCATTTTATATAGGGGACTTGAGCATCTTCAGATTTTGGTATTTGCAGGGGATCCTGGAATTGATCCCCCAAGGATATGGAGGGACAACTTAAGTTTTCGGAGAATCAGAAGTTTATACATGTATTTTTACTGTGTGTGTGTGTGGGGGGGTCGGTATCCCTAACCCCCACATTGTTCAAGGGTCAACTGCACTGTCTTGCATATTAGTCAAAGCTTACATATTGCCTTTGACTCTAACTTTTGGTTAGCGCATCATTGTAGCCCAAAGCCATATGGGAAGTGACAATAGAAAGGGCAGTGTGAGATGGAGACTATATATGTGAATTTGGCTTTCATGGACCATCCATATAATAACTCTTGTTTTAATTTTGAAACCCAAGTCCTCATAGCACTGTCATGTCCACATCAGAGACTGAGAAGGGAGAGGCAAGTGTTTATTCCAGTCCTCTCCTAGTTGAAAAGGGGATGAGGAATCAGCAAGAATTTGTTGGTATGCTGTTTCTTGGTCGCCAGCTATTGGTCCCATTGGTAGTGATGGTTTCATCAGTGTAAACTTTCTTTCACAGTGCCTAATCCAAAGGCAGTGGGTACACTTCGATTACAAAAAATACATTCACATGGGGCTCATATGTCATATCACATTTATTTCTAGAGCCAAAGATCCGTCAGTCACTCATTGAATTTCAGGATATTTGTAAGAAGCATTCTTTTCACTCCTGCACTTCAGTGGAACTAGGTGACTATGCCAGCATTTAGAATGCAGTGGGACCTGACAGTCTTTCTTTCTCTCTTGTTAGATGCATAGAGTAAGATGACAAGCTCATTTATAACTTTTTTCTGCCAGGTCACTTTGCCAAGAGATCTTATTGTGGATTCTGGGGAAACTGGAGAGGAACAAAGCAGTTGCCAGCCTAAAAGGATTTGCAGGATTGGACAGATCTGTGCCTTCACTCCATTCTCTGTGTCAGTTTAGAGCTGCCACTCAAGGTGGTATTATGGTTACCATCAAAGAGGCCATTTGGTGAGTCCAACCACCCTTTTCTATCTCTCTTCAGATTTAATTGTACCCGAGGCCATTCTGTGATTTGTCCACTAAGGGGCGCTGATAGGAAGGAAACAAAAAAGCAGCTGACATGCGCCCGTTTATTATAGTGTCTAAATGAAATGTGAGCCTCTTTTTAAAAAATTTTATTTTCTTGTTTAAAGTATTACAAATAGTAGTACATATGTCTGCTTTTTTCCCCCATTGACCTTCCCCTGGCCTTTAGTAATCCTCCAGGCTTTTCCTCGATGCTAGCTAATAGTAGGTGCAATCTACTGGAGCCTCACAGCTCGGCCCCTTACTTCACAAAGACTTTGCCAGTGAATCAGAATAAAGGACAGACACATGTTCACCCTCAACACCATAAACCAGCCGTGGGCAAACTGTGGCCCGCAGGCTGGATCCGGCCCGTTTGAAATGAATAAAACTATTGGAAAAAAAGACCGTACCCTTTTATGTAATGATGTTTACTTTGAATTTATATTAGTTCACACAAACACTCCATCCATGCTTTTGTTCCGGCCCTCCGGTCCAGTTTAAGAACCCATTGTGGCCCTCGAGTCAAAAAGTTTGCCCACCCCTGCCATAAACCAACGTGCTTTCTCACTCTCAAAATGGTATATATGTTCTGAATCAGACGTTTTCCTATGGGAAATTGCTTGATAGCTCTCTTTTATAGAAATTTTATAATGACAGTTTGTTTCTCCCAGGGATTGATTAGAAGGTGCTTAATAAATGTTACTGGAATGGGTAATTTATTTCTCCAACATCTCACAAGTGTAGGTTAAATTATTTCCATTTTCTGGGTGATATGTATAGATGTTATTACCTCAGACTGTAAATTATTCTTATCAGATTTCACAAAGTATTTACCTGGTGGCAGCTACTGTACTTAGATCATATCACATTAAAAATGCTGTCGTTTGTTAAAGTGTTTAAATTTAATTTTTTTATTCATGGTTGACTGAGTTTTAGAACACTTTCAATATGATGAACTTGAGGAAAATAAACATATTGATTGCAAACAATTATCAGTACAAACTCAAGCTAGTATTTTACTGAGAGTTATTTTGTTGAGCATTGGTAGGTTCTATGGTTATGCCCTTGAACTGAAAGAGTTTAAAATTTTGGGGCATGTTTATTTAAAAATTCCTTTGGTACGGTTGAAACAGGGACCAATTTAGTGACTATATAGAGAATTTTATAGTATTTAACTTATCAGTAGTTAAAAATTATTGCTATCTTAACAAGCCTTTAGTGCACATGTGTCAAAATCAACAGCTCTTATTGAAACTAAAGTTGTCTTTATTGTAGGAAAGATAGTGAATAGGCAGTGCTTGAATGAATTTCCATCCCTACCAGATCCTTAACCTGGGGTCTCCACATGGACTTTTAAAGGGCTATAATCTCCTGAAATTATACACAAGTTTTTTTATATGCAAACATGGATTTTTTTTCCCCCTGGAGTGAAGGGAAAATAATTTAAACAAAAATTTGAGGTCTTTTTAATGATTTGTTGTATGGAAAAATAACATGTTACTTTAGAATATTATTAATGGGGTTTAAAAAAAAATATCTCTGGGGGTGGGAGGGGAAAAAAAAACCTCTGGGTGATCAATCTTCCCAAGATAAATATGACTTCACATTGCAGTGATGAAGATGAAGCCCTGTACCAGAAGGTATCCTCAGAGCAGTACCAGCTAGAGCACCTCGGGGACTTGCTGTCCCACTGCCAGGAAAGTGGGTTGGCTGGTGACTTCTTCATCTTCTGCTTGAAGGTAAGAGCTACAGTACATGTGCAGTTCATGGTCAGCTTTATTCCAGGGTAGTATCAGGAGCCCCATTGAATTTTCAAGCCAGTCATAATCTTAGGTTCTAAAATTAGGGCCTGTTAGGATAAATAATCAGAGGATATAAGGATAATTTATGTTTTAGGAGGTTTGGTAAAAAGAAGAAACCTACCCTCAGCAGTACACGTGTAACTGAACGACTTTGCAAGGTACTCTGCCCTGAAATTTTAGAGATGACCAAAGCAGAACTGTTGATCTATGAAAGGGTTAATCTTTGCTCTGTGTTCATAGTAAGAACTCTTTTGAAGTTAATAGCAGGTTTTACAGCTATAGAATAATCCCTTATCCTTTCTGACTATTGTTTTGTCAGGTATTTAGAAAGGAGATTTAGCAGTGCTGCCTCTCTCATTTCATTTTGTAGCCGCTTGAAGACCTTCTCTGGGTTTGCTTCTTGGTGCTGGTGGTTGTCCTTCCTGTTGTCCTAATCTCCCAACAGTAACCTGTACTCCATACTGTTACTCCTCATTCGCACTATTTGAGACCTTAAGCCTCTGATTCCCTGTCTTCCAGCTCTGCCTTCTCCATTATTTCCCCTAAATAAAGTGCCTACTCCAAGAGAATGTTTGTGGAGTTTAAGAATGGTGTGGGTGTGGGAGAATACAAGGAGTGAAATAGGGCTAATAATTCTAGAATTTGAAGTTGGGGTACTTTTTTTAAAAAAAATATATATTTTATTGATTTTTTACAGAGAGGAGGGGAGAGGGATAGTTAGAAACATCGATGAGAGAGAAACATCGATCAGCTGTCTCCTGCACAACCCCTACTGGGCATGTGTCTGCAACCAAGGTACATGCTCTTGACCGGAATCGAACCTGGGACCTTTCAGTCCGCAGGCTGATGCTCTATCCCAGGGGTGGGCAAACTTTTTGACTCGAGGGCCACAATGGGTTCTTAAACTCGACCGGAGGGCCGGAACAAAAGCATGGATGGAGTGTTTGTGTGAACTAATATAAATTCAAAGTAAACATCATTACATAAAAGGGTACGGTCTTTTTTTTTTTTTTAGTTTTATTCATTTCAAACGGTCCGGATCCGGCCCACGGGCCATAGTTTGCCCACGGCTGCTCTATCCACTGAGCCAAACCAGTTAGGGCTGGGGTACTTTTTTGATGCTTTCTCCTCTGCCACATTCACATCTACCCCCTCCGCCCAGCCCACTCATTGTAAATAACATTACAAGAATATATGTCCTCTTAATTTGACACTTTAAAAATTTTTATTTAAAAACGAAAAAAGTGAAAGGTGTTTTTCGTTGTTGTTTTTTTTTCCCCCCTCTAAACAAAGGTTTTCCCACCTTGGAATTATTGACATTTTGGGTTGGATAATTTTTGCTGGCTGCAGGTAAGGGGAGATGGGAGGCCTTCTGGTGAGGATTGGGGGCTTCCTGTGCATTGTAGGGTGTTTAGCACCATCTCTGACCTCTTCCCACTAGCTGCTTGTACCACCCTCCAATTATGATGACCAAAAATGTCCCCAGACATTGCTAAATGTCCCCCTGGGGAGCAAAATTGCTTAGGCACAGTTGGGAAGCACTGCTCTAAACTCTCAGTTACTCTGTTAAAGCATTAATTGTTAACACATTGCGGACCAGTAGTTTTATTGCTAGCTTTACCCAGTGGCCAGATAAGTTTCTATTGAACGAGTATAAAAACTGTTTACATAAATGTTAAAGGCACGCTTTAAAATTAAATACCCATTGCATTTTGAAGTTATTTATTATATGTTCTTACCAGCTAATATCTTTTTAAAGTATGATACTTTGTAAAACACTGTGTAATATGAAGTGTCAGTTCTCCTGATCCGTTTAAATAAGCTAAGGTTTTGCCTTCCTAAGGAAATTTGCAATATGAAGAGTAGGGGAAAAGCCTACAAAACCCACAGTAATGAATTATGTATTGGTAGAAATTTAGTTCTAAATATCTTAGGGAAAAAGGGCTGTGGTGCTGAAAGCATCAAATAGTCTCTAAAGAGGGGTTGGAAATGTTATTTGGCTTTAGTTCAAGGAAGGCTAGTGATGGAGATCATAAAAATACTAGTGAAATAAGTCTTTCAAACTAGTTCTTTGTGTGTATGTTTTTCATTATGAAGTTTTAAATTTTCATACACAGGGTATCATAGTATAGGTACTATTCTGCAGCTTACATTTTTTACTCCACAGTGCTTTTGAGAGCTCTCTGTATTGATATCCACATAGACCTAGTTCATTTATCTCAACTGCTGCAATATAATAAGTACATCACAATTTATTCATTTTCTTATCGCTGGACATTTTTGTTTCAAATTTTTGGCTATTATAAATAACTAGAGGCCTGGTGCACAAAAATTTGTGCACTTGGGAGGGTCCCTCGCCCTGGCCTGTGCCCTCTTGCAGTCTGAGACCCCTCAGGGAATGACTACCTGCTAGCTTAGGCCCACTCCCCAGAGGATTGGGCCTAAGCTGATAGTCAGACATCCCTCTGGCAGCCCAGGAGCCCTCGGGGGATGTCCACTTGCCAGCGGGGAGCAGGCCTAGCTGCAGTCGGACATCCTTAGCGCTGCTGAGGAGGCAGGAGAGGCTCCCACCACCAGCGCTGTACTGGCAGCCTTCATCCTGGCTTGTGGCTGGGCAGAGCACCCCTGTGGGAGCACACTGACCACCAGGGAGCAGCTCCTGCATTGAGCTTCTGCCCCCTGGTGGTCAGTGTGTGTCAAAGTGACCAGTGATTCCCAGTTGCTCTGCTGTTAGGGTCAATTTGCATATTACCCTTTTATTATATAGGATGCTGCAGTGAACACAGACTAGTCCTTTAAATACACATTTCAAACTGAGTTTTCTAGCTGTTGTTGAGCCCTTTGTCCCACAGGCTTTCCCTTTTCTCCTACACTGACAGGAGTTGACTCATGTGGCTGTGGAAAATGAAGCAGAGTTAAAAACGCAGCACTTCTCCAGCAAAAGCCTCTTGGAATTAGAACAGCACCAGACTCTTCTGGTGGAAGGCCAGGAGCAGAAGCTGCTGGTACTGCAGCTGTTGGCTGTTCTGTGCGAGAGGATGTCTGAGCAGATATTCACAAACATCACTCAGGTCAGTGTCCGTCACATTCTGGATCCAGCCTGGTTTGGTTTCTTTACATTCTTTCCAAAAAATGTTCAAAGAATGTTACTCAGAGTGTGGTTTGATGACACCTGCCTCAGTGTTACCTGGAATGCTGGTTAAACATGCCAATTACTGAGCCCACACTAGACCAAGAGGATCGACACTTTCACAGGTCCTGGGAATCGGCATGTTTATTAACAAACTCCTGAGGCGATTCTTATGTGCATATAACTTTAAGAACTGTTTTAAATGTTTATATGTTGTATCAGAGTGGTTTTTAACTTCACTAGAGACTGGGCATCTGTGGTTTTTGTTGTTGTTGTTAATTCTCACCTGAGCATATGTTTTCATTGATTTTTAGAGAGAGTGGAAGGGAGGAGGAGAGACAAAGAGAGGGAGAAACATCAATGTCACATCAATTGGTTGCCTCCCGCATGCCAGGGCCAGGGATGGAGCCTGCAACTGAGGTACGTGCCCTTGACCGGGATTGAATCCGGGACCCTTCAGTCTGTGGGCTGACACTCTATCCACTGAGCCAAATGGGCTAGGACAGCATCTATACTTAAAAAATACATTTTTTTACTTTTATTTTTTATTTAATTTCTTTATTGATTAAGTTATTACATATGTGTCCTTATCCCCTAAAAAACACATTCTTAATTGATTTTTAGAGAGAGAGGGAGGGAAAGGGAGCCACAGAGAGAGAAATGTGGATAGGCTGCCTCCTGCACACCCCCTACCTTGATAGCCTGCAAACTGGGAATCGAACCGGCAACCTTTTGGTGCACAGGATGATGCCCAACCAACTGAGCCACCCAGCCAAGGCTGGGCATCTGTATTTTTTAATGCTCTATGGATGTGCATCAAAAGTTGAGAATGATTAGAAACTCAAATTTAAGAAAACAATCATCTAGACTAGAATTTTACAGGTCCTCTAACTCACAGATTTTCTCCCTAATAGCCTGTGAAGTTTTAAGATTAAAACAAAAATGCTTTCAGAGTAGAGTAACTATGTGAATCAGGGCCTGAATTTTATTGGCTCAGACATAATTTTTATAGTTTTTTGTGTTTTTTTTTAATCCTCACCCAAGGATATTTTCTCCATTGCTTTTTAAGGAGTCGAAGTGAGGGGTGGGGGTGGGGGGGGGGTGGAGAAACATTGATGTGAGAGAGACATATCGATTGGTTGCCTCCCACAGGAGCCCTTACCTGGCGGCAACCCAGGTACATGCCCTTGACCAGGAATTGGAATCGAGCCTGAGACCCTTTGTTGGCGGGCGGATGCTCTAACCACTGAGAACACCAGCCAGGGCTTACCAGCTTTTTTAAAAATAGGAGATAAAAGTAATAAAGCATAAGCAGTGCAGGTGCCATATTATACCATTTTACCAGAATTAGTTGTTGCTTGGTGAATAGTCGGTTGTAAGATGGTATGATTGTCACGTTTAAATCTGATTCTCCAGCTCTTTGTATCCTTCTCATTGTCATCTGCCTCGGGTGTTGCTAAGCAGCATTTCAGTACAGCTCCTGCTGAGAAAATTTGCAGCTGCCTGTCAGCTCTGACTTATCGTGACTGTTTAATGAGAATTATGGTCATGATTTTTTTTCTTGGCCTCTTATTCCTTCAGTTCATTGACCCTGAGTTATGTTACTCAGTGGGGTGATTTGTTTCTCTTGCGTTTATATCATTTCCCTGAAGACTTTCACATGTACATCTTATGTTTTTGTCTTAGGATGCTAGTTGGAAGGGGAAATGATCTAAAAATGTATATGACTTGAGCTTTTGCTCTTATCTCCCATTATTCCCAATTAAGGAACAATGGTTTGAGGCTGATACAAAAATGATTTGTCCCATTAAATTATCCTTCAGTTAAGGTTAAAATGTATCAGGACAAAAAGAAACAAAAAAATATTAAATTGCATTTAGTAGTCTTACTGCTAGTGATACTTTTGGTATGTTATTTTGAAATACACACATATGGATAAGTTATAAGTAATAAATATTATAGTAATTTGGTTAATATGATTAGGAACCAAAATCTTTAGTGTAAGAAAAGAATTATAAATATAAAATCAAAGAACTTGAGTATAAACCCTAGTATATTGAATTTTGATTGGAAGTATGAGTGTGAACTCATGATGTGTTTTTCTCTTTTTGAAAAATAGATAATTCCTAGCTAGGTTCACTGTCAGTGCCAAGAAGCAATGACAGCCCAGTAGCAATAAACATCATTTGTGCTGAATTATAGTTTCTTTCTTTTTTTAAAAAAAAATATTTTATTGATTATTTACAGAGAGGAAGGGAGAGGGATAGAGAGTTAGAAACATCGATGAGAGAGAAACACTGATCAGCTGCCTCTTGCACACCTCCCACCAGGGATGTGCCTACAACCAAGGTACATGCCCTTGACCGGAATCAAACCCGGGACCCTTCAGTCCGCAGGCCGACGCTCTATCCACTGAGCCAAACCGGTCAGGGCCTGAATTATAGTGTCTAAATACCATTTCCTACTAAAAGAACACAAAGCTTATAGGATTAAAGGTTTATTTGTGGTCTAGGGTAGGAATTGTACACTATAAGCCTCAGGGCATTTTATTGTACCTGAATATAAGGAAACTATGTGAAATTAATGAGTTCATGTCAATAATACTCAGGAGCCCATTTGAAAGGGCCGTAGGACATTTTGAGTATTAAAAGGAATAATGCCTGTCATGGATGTAAGCACATCAAAGTTATAAAAATTCTAGTCCCTACAAAAAAAAAAAAAAAATCCCATATAGGACATCTTTGGAGATTGTTAGGGCATTACTCATTAATTTGTAAATTGATAAATGAAGGCAAAGAATAAAGCATTTATCTTGCTTTTCCTTGGGAACTGTATTTCAATGTAAGCAAATAGTTGATGAAGGAAAAATTTTCTTTATACAGGAATCACAGCTAAAAATTCAAAGAACTAGAAAATTATTTCTTTCAATCCCTTAATGAAATAATGGGTCTAAGTAACAATCATCAATATCTGCTAAAATCATTAGGAATACTGTATAATGAATGTAATTAGGCCAAATACACCCAAACCATCTGATCCCCTCACCCCCAGCACAGCATTTTATTAAGAAGACTTTCAGCCCTGGCCAGTGTTGCTCAGTTGGTTGAGCTTTGTCCCATGCACCAAAAGGTTACTGATTCCATTTCCAGTCAGGGCACAAGCCCTGGTTTTGGGCTTGATCCCCAGGAGGAGGCATGCAGGAGGCATGCAGGATGTTTCACTCTCACATCAATGTTTCTCTCTCTCCCTATCCCTTCCTTTCTCACTAAAATCAATATAAACATTTTTTTTTAAAAAAGAAAGCTTTCAAATTTGAAAGAATTTTATAGTGATTACTTACATATCCACTGCCTAGATTCTATTAGCATTTGATTATACTTGCTTTATCACATATTAGTCCCTGTTTTCAACAGTCTATCCACCTCATTTTTGATGAATTTCAGGGTTAATGCAAATATCAGTATATGCCTCCCTAAATATTCAGTATGGACTGTTCATCTTAACATCACCATAGGTAGACAAGCAGACATTATGTGCCTCCTGATATAATAAAGTAGGACAGATGCAGCACCTCCTGGGAAGAGTTCTGACAAAATCCTATCTAATAATAGACAAACATGGTAATTGACCGTACCTTCACTACACTTCCCATTGGCTATTCAGGGCGATATGCAAATTAACTGCCAACAAAGATGGTGGTTAGCTGCCAACAAAGATGGTGGTTAATTTGCATATGTAGGCGCAATGCTGGGAAACGAAAGGGGAAGGACGGAAGAAGCCGCCTGCTGCTGACGGTGATCGGAAACCCAGGTGGCAGGCAGGAGCTGAGTGGCAGGGCAAAGGCGGCCCTGGGGGCCGCCTTTGCCCTGCCCCCCGGCCGGTAATCGGAGAAGCTGGGCGGGGCAGGGAAGAGGCAGCTGCCAGCATCCGCCTCTTCTTTCCCCCCCACTCCCCCCGGGCCAGTGTTCGGAGAAGTACCTGTATTTTTTTTTCAAAGTACCTGTATTTTTAATAATTTCTTGACATGGTAAAAGAATTTTACATTACAATCCAAGGGTGGTGGGGTGAGGAGAAGGAGCAGCAGAACAATCCAACAAACAAAAAGGGAAACAGAAATGCATGGTGGGAGGGATTTGAAGGGTGGGTAGGGGCATTGCCCAACTAAAATGCAATTGGTTTGTTACTGAGTACTATTCATGGGAAGACAGCATCCTGACTCCTTCTCTATACAGCATATTGGGAGTAAAAATGATGCATCCAGGTGGAAATATGATTAGGGGTTGGAAGACAGGGAAAGAAGAAGTCAGAAATAGGCACCGAGAGAGTCACTGGCTGGCTGGCTGCAAATACTGACTCTCCAGTAGTGATAGAATAAAAAAGTGGGGGATATCTCTGGAAGATTCAAGAGATAGGGGGCAACTCTTCTATGGTTTTGACTTGCCCAGCATATTTCCACATACACACGTGTACATGCCTATGTTTGCATGCACACACATATACACATAACTGACTGCCCTCCCTGGAAGCACAGAAGAAGAAGAAGCCGCCCATCTTTGGTCCAGGCGCCAGCGCCTGCGGCTGGCTGGAGCCCAGGAGACGGACAAGCCACCCGCCCAAGGCCCCAGGCTGCAGCCACCCAGAGAAGCTGCCAGCCCTGTGGTCCAGGGCGCCAGCGCCTGTGGCCAAGGAAATAGGTTCCCTCTTCTACTGCAGTCATTACTTCAATATTCCCCTTCTGAATTTTTCCCCTGTGCTGCAACCCAACTCCACTTTTCATCGGAAGGATACGGAACAGAGAGAGCAGTGTTAAAAGCTTACATTTTTAAGCCGGTAAGGTTGGTACTTAAACATATAAATGGAAAACTAGAGTCCAAAGGCTATGAAGGACAGGGACAGCGCATGACCTATTATATCCAGCAATCCATATGGGGACTGAAAACTTTGCAATGATGACAATTAGTGAAGATATGAATCAAATAAAATAGTTGACAGGGACAATTCTTCCATCTTTGAAAATATCTACGTCAATTCTGTTTAGATTTTCATCTGCATAATATAACACATTCTGACAAGACCACCACCACCACCAATGTGGTCAGTGTTGTGCTGATAAATTTTTAATAACTGAGGGACACTCCCCCCCCCCCCCGAGTGCACAAATTTTTGTGCACCGGGCTACTAGTAAATAAATAAAATAAATTCCCCAAAATGTGAATCTGAATCCAATCATGAAAACGCAGGACAGAGGAGCAAGTTAATGCGATGAGGAAGCAATTGGCCAAATACAGAATGTGGGAAATTCTACAGGACAGATGACCCAGTTTCTTTATCAAATAAATGGCACCAAAAAGGAATAGGCTGTTGTAGCTTGAAAGGGATGTATAACCAAATACAATGTGTGGATCCTGATTCAAACAAACCAAGACATTTTTGAACAGTCATGGACCAAGTATTAGAAGATATAAGGGATTGTTGAGTGTAGTCATGGTATGGTAGTAACATGCTCATTGTAAACACATCTCAACAACATAGAAGTGCAATATTTAAAAATTAGAGATTTCTGATTAAAGATGGTGTGTCGAACACATGTGTTTATCTGCCTCCTCTGGAAACCACAAGGACCAGTAGAGCAGGAAAGGAGAAACAGTAAATAAAAGGGAATAACATTTGGAAACTGGAGAATAGTAGCTGATTTAGCAGTTTCAGAAAATGGAAAGCTAAGTGCCTGCATGGGAGAAGTCAAGAAGCAAAGCACTGTATTTCAATACAATTGTTTTGAAAAGAAAAAAAAAGCAAGCTATTTCTCCCTGCAGAACCCTGGGAGGACTGGAGGCCCCAGATAAGCTCTAAAGATGGAGGTGAATTTAGAGCTTAAAATAGGTTGAAAGGCTGCACTAGCTTGGGTCGACCACTTGATTCCTTCCTCAACTTTGTACAACCACCCCCCATCCCCCAGCAAAAGATTGGAGGTTTATTCTTGAGAGAGGTTGAACCCAAGAGACTCTGAACTTGAGTGGTGTTAGCACACTGAAAAACTGGAGGATTAGGTTGACATCTACGTGCTCAGCAGTGAGGCCTCCAGCCCCCTTCCCCTCAGTTGCTAGAATGGTGGCAGCAGGTTTACACATCCCCTTAGGTTAGTGTGAGGATTAAGTGTGTCTATAACTGTGATATGTTCAGAATGGTACCTGGTAAGTAGTAAATGCTTAATGTTATTATTAAATTAACCAGCTAAATAATTAAAGGTGGTTGTCTCTGGGCCAGAATCAGGTGGGAGTAGGACATTGCTGTTTTTCATAATAAACTTTCAGGAATATTTGGCTTTTTAAATTATGCATCTGTACAAAAAAATTTAAGGGAAAGGTAAAAGTCTCTCCCCCATCTCTGCAGCAGGCTTTAGTCACATGCCTATCCTTGTGGCTGGCAGCCCCACCAAAATCACAGGAAATGAGTAGAAGGGGGAAGAGCTGTTATCCAATGGGTATGGTGGTTTTGCTGTTACAAGAAAGTTTGCAGGAAAAGCTACTTCATAGATGACAATACAGCTGATTATTACATTAACAGCTTCCAGGGTTTTATGTATGTATGTATATATATAGACAGATATAGAAAAGTTCCTTCTTAACAAAAATAGAATGATGTTACTTGTTTTCCAACATATATAGTGGAAAGGAACTTAGAAAAAGTTAGAGGTTAGATAGTTCTTTTCCAGTAATTTAACAATAGATGTTCTGATACAGAAGCGTCCTATAAGCAAGGTGTGCTTTAGAAAACTCTTGAAAAGCAAAATAGGTAGCCCAAGATGCTCGATGAGAGTTTCTCTGAAAGGACCAGTGTCCTTAACTCTGGCATCAATAGAGTCCTAGGCTAAGAGGGTGGTGAAACTTGCCATAACCAGCATTGTTCATTTCAGTAGGTGGAACTTTAAATAATTTTTCTAAACTTCCTGCCTTATTCCAAAAGACAAGTGTTAACAAGCCACTTTTTTTTTTTTTTTTTTTTTTACTTTAAGCTTGTAATAAAGATTCTAGCGTAGTGTGTAATTTGCCGAGGGAGTTGAACATGCAAGCTTGCATGGTATTCAGAGGCTTATTATGACCTATCTCAGCTGCCCCATTTTCAAAATGATTTTCCTCTTTTCAGCCATTAATCCTCAGTGTGTGTGTGTGCGTGTATGTGTCCATATGTACGTGTGTGTGCATGTACATGTGTATTTGTATGCGTATGCTGTCTTTTTTTTTTTTTTGCATATGCTTTTATTCAAAGGCGTTTCTTCCTTTGAAGGTGATTAATCAACGTGCAGTTAAAATTATGTGGATCAAGTTAGTTCCATTTAAGGTGTAGTAGATAGCCAAATGCAACGTAAAATACATGTGAAAGTCTTAATTCTTTAAATATATTTGATACTTAAAAAATGACTCTGGTTCATTTGTACAGATTGTTTGAGGACACTGGCTTCTACATAAAATTGAATGCCTCTTCCCCCATTCTTTGCTTAATTAGAATAAGACTGTTAAAATGACAGGGGTGAGGCCCTGGCCGGGTAGGTCAGTTGGTTAGAACATTGTCCCAATATGACAAGGTTGTGGGTTCAATCCCCGGTCAGGGCACATGCAAGAATCAACCAATGAATGCATAAATAAGTAGAACAACAAATCGATGTGTGTTTTTTCTCTATCTCTCTCAAAATCAATAAAAATTTTTAAAAATTCTTTTAAAAAGTGAGTGGGCCCTAGCCAGTTTTGCCAGTGGATAGAGAGTCAGCCTGTGGACTGAAGGGTCTTGGATTCAATTCTGGTCAAGGGCACATACCTCGGTTATAGGCTCAATCCCCAGCCCTGGTCGGGGCTAGTACGGGAGGCAACTATTGATGTGTCTCTCTCACAGTGATGTTTTTCTCTGTCTCTCCCCTTACCTTCCACTCTCTAAAAATCAATAGAAAATATATTCGGGTGGGGATTAACAACAACAACAAAAATAGTTGCTAGGACGAGGGGAAGATATTCTTGAGGAGGAAATCTCATTAGGAGAAGTAGATCGGACCTTCTAAGTTGGTCAGAAAGTAACAAATCCTTTTTCATTTTAATTTCCTGCCAAAATTCATGAAAAGTAAAGAGAGTTGGTTTAATGCATTAAAACATTTGGGAAAGTTTAAATGGGCTTTCTTACTTATTGACCATATGGCCTTGCGGAGATAACCTCCTTAAGTCTCAGATTCTTCATCTCAAAATGAGGATAAGAGTAGTGGCCTCCTGGAGTTAATATGCGGCCTAAGTGACCTTGTGCATGTGAAACACTGAGCACCATGCCTGCTACACAGTAGTAGTTATTGTTGAAGGTTCTTGCTATCATGATGTTGATGTAGAATAAGATGAAGATGTAGATGTAAGATGTAAAGAAAATGTTGAGGTTTGTTTTCTTTCTCTCCACTGATTCTAAATCCCTTTTCTGTGGTAGGTGGTGGACTTTGTAGCAGCAACACTGCAGCGAGCATGTGCAAGTTTGGCCCACCAGACAGAGAGCACCGTGGAATCACAGACACTGAGCATGTCCATGGGGCTGGTGGCTGTCATGCTGGGAGGAGCTGTTCAGGTGAGTTGCAGACATGAGCCAAACTTGAATGGAGGGAGAAGCGAAAGAGAAGAGAAAAACCTATTGTTTCCCTTCCTTACCCTTGTGAGAAATAAGAATAGATATTGCACAGAGGAGAACCAGGATAAACAAGTCAAGTTGTTGGTGAGAATTGTCTCCAAAGTAAAGGACAAGAAAATGTGCACTTTCACTTTGTCACCTGCATAGTGGTCACCATCAGAAGGGCAGGGCCTTTCTGACTTGGCACAAGCTTGATTTGGAAACACTCAGCACAGTGGTTTGCATCCATGGTGAAAACTAAATCCTCTTACCCTCACTGTACTGGCTTCCAAAGCTGGTTCCTGCTGTGCCAGTCTGGGGAAACCTTTGTAACCTGCTGGTTGCTTAGGATCCCATCTGTTTTAAATAGTTTCATTTTAACATAGGATCCATTGTTCTCACATCATGTAACATGTTAAAGCTTTGTTTCCAGTGGATGTATCTTTTACATACTTAATTTTTAAAAAAATATATTTTATTGATTTTTTACAGAGAGGAGGGGAGAGGGATAGAGAGTTAAAAACATTGATGAGAGAGAAACACCGATGAGCTGCCTCCTGCACACCTCCCACTGGGGATGTGCCTGCAACCAAGGTACATGCCCTTGACCGGAATTGAACCTGGGACCTTTCAGTCCGCAGGCCGACGCTCTATCCACTGAGCCAAAACAGTTAGGGCATACTTAATTTATAATTTTTAAATTTTTTCTCTCAAAAGTATTTCTTATACACTTGCTTTGTGCCAGATACTGAGCTAAGGTGCTGGGAATACAACAGTGGACCAAGGAGACCTGGTCTCTACCCGCATGAAGCTTTCAGTCCAGTAAGGGAGTCAGATACCAAATAACTATCCAAAAAATATACATAGAATTGAATGAAGTGCTGTAGAAAAGTGGAAGGTACCAAGAGAACATAGCATCCAACCTAGGCTGGGAAGGTCTCTACTGAGGATGTGTAAGTTTAAGGTCAGACTTGAGTGATGGATAGAAATTTGGGAGTACATGTAGTGCAGATGGAGGAAACTCTTCCAATTAAAGAAAACATTTGGCCGAAACCGGTTTGGCTCAGTGGATAGAGTGTCGGCCTGGGAATGAAGGGTCCCAGGTTCGATTCCGGTTGAGGGCATGTACCTGAGTTGCGGGCATATCCCCAGTAGGAGATGTGCAGGAGGCAGCTGATCGATGTTTCTCTCTCATCGATGTTTCTAACTCTCTATCTCTCTCCCTTCCTCTCTGTAAAAAATCAATAAAATATATTAAAAAAAAAAAAAAAAAAAAGAAAACATTTGTACAAAGACCAGGAAGCAGGAAAGAGCTTGGTATACTTGAGACACTGATAGAAGGCCAGTATAGCTGGAAGGTAGAGACTGAGGGTCAGAGTAGTGCTAGACAAGGTGGAAAGGTATGCTCTAGCTAATTATTTCCATACTAGAGGCCGGGTGCATGAAATTCGTGTACGGGTAGGGTCCCTAGGCCTGGCCGGCAATCAGGGCCGATCGGGGCCTTCAGGCTGCCAGCCGGGGCCTTACTTCGTTCCACGCCACCCCTTGGTGGTCAGCGCACATCATAGCAAGTGATTTCCTGGTCTCCCAGTTGAACTCCCAAGGGGACAATTTACATATTAGGCATTTATATCCTATCTAATAAAAGAGAAACATGGTAATTAGCGTACGACCGCTACCCTTCCCATTGGCTAATCAGGGCAATATGCAAATTAACTGCCAGCCAAGATGGCGGCCAGCAGCCAGGCAGCTTAAACTGAACATGAGGCTTGCTTGCTTCAGTGACGGAGGACTCCAACGTTCCCTGCCTGCCTTGCTGGCCTCTGAGCCTGCAGTTTGAACATTGTAACAAATATAGAAGCTAAACAAAACCCCAGAAACCAGCTTTCAGCCAGCCGGGATCTCAGAGCTGGAGTTATACATTGTGTTGATTATAGAACCTAAACAAACCAGATACCTACTTTCAGCAGCTGAGGCCTCAGAGCTGGAGCCAAGCCTCAGAGCTAAAGCTGGCCCAGAATTAAAAAAAAAAAAAAGGAAAAAAGGAGCGTTTGGGAGTTCAGTCACCCCCAGCCTGAAAACAGCCCTCAGCCCCTCACCCAGACTGGCCAGGCACCCCATTGGGGACCCCCACCCTGAAGGGTGTGTGACCAGCTGCAAACAGCCATCATCCCCTCACCCAGGCTGGCCAGGCACCCCAGTGGGGACCCCCACCCTGATCCAGGACACCCTTCAGGGCAAACCAGCCGGCCCCCACCCATGCACCAGGCCTCTACCCTATATAGTAAAAGGGTAATATGCCTCCCAGCACCGGGATCAGCGGAGCCAAGAGGCCTCCAGGCACCGGGATCAGCATGACAGGGGACAGCACCCAAACACCCTGATCGGCCCTGCTCTGTGTGTGACAGGGTGTGGTGCCCCCCCCCCCCCCAGGCCCTGCTCTGTGTGTGACGGGGTAGAGCCATAACCTCCCCATCGACCCTGCCCTGAGTGTGACAGTGGCGGCGCCCCAACCCCCTGATCAGCCCTGCTCTGCGGGTGATAGAGGGTGGTGCCCCAACCGCCCCCCCCCTCCTCCCACGGGCCCTGCTCTGTGTGTGATGGGGTAGAGCCATAACCTCCCCATCAGCCCTGCCCTGAGTGTGACAGTGGCGGCGCCCCAATCCCCTGATTGGCCCTGCTCTGTGGGTGATAGAGGGCGGTGCCCCAACCCACTGATCCGCCCTGCTCTGTGTGTGACAGGGGATGGTGCCCCAACTCCCCTATCGGACCTACTCTGTGAGTGACAGGGGGGAGCTCCTCAACCCCCTGATGGGCCCTGCTCTGTGCGTGACAGGAGGGAGCTCCCCAACCCCCTGATGGGCCCTGCTCTGTGCATGACAGGGGGGAGCTCCCCAACCTCCCTGATGGGCCCTGCTCTGTGTGTGACAGGGGGCAGCGCCCCAACCCCCTGATCGACCCTGCTCCATGCGTGACAGGGTACGGAGCCCCAACACCCCTGATGGGCCCTGCTCTGTGTGTGACAGGGGGCAGCGCCCCAACCCCCGGATTGGCCCTGCTCTGTGTGTGACAGGGGGTCGCGCCGCAACCTCCCCATCGACCCTGCCTTGAGTGTGACGGGGTGGTGCCCCAACCCCCCAATCAGCCCTGCTCTGAGCCCGACTAGGGGCTGCACCTAGGGATTGGGCCTGCCCTATGCCACCCGGGAGCAGGCCTAAGCCAGCAGGTCGTTATCTCCCGAGGGGTCCCAGACTGCGAGAGGGCACAGGCCGGGCTGAGGGGCCTCCCCTCCCCCCCGAGTGCACAAATTTTTGTGCACCAGGCCTCTAGTATGTATATACACACACACACACACACACACACACACACACACACATACATACACATATATACATACATACATACACTAGAGACCTAGTGCATGAAATTTGTGCGTGGTGTGTGTGTGTGGGGGGGGTTCCCTCAGCCCAGCCTGCATCCTCTTGCAATCCGGGACCCCTCAGGAGATGTCCAACTGCCTGTTTAGGTCCGATCCCACTGAACCAGCAGTTGGACATCCCTCTTGCAATCTGGGACCACTGGCTCCTAACCACTCACCTACCTGCCTGCCTCATTGCCCCAACCACTCGCCTGCCTGCCTCATTGCCCCTAACCACTTGCCTGCCTGCCTCATTGCCCCTAACCACTTGCCTGCCTGCCTCATTGCCCCTAACCCCTCTGCCTGCCTGCCTCATCGCCCCTAACCACTTTGCCTGCCTGCCTGATCGTCCCTAACCACTCACCTGCCTGCCTAATCACTCCTAACTGCTCGCCTGCCTGCCTGATCGCCCCTAACCATTCTGCCTGCCTGCCTGATCGCCCCTAACTTCTCACCTGCCTGCCTGATTGCCCCCAACTGCCTCTGCCTTGGTCCTGCCGCTGCCATTTCATCCAGAAGGATGTCCGGAATGACGTCCAAAAGGTCTTTTGGCTGTCCAGTCTAATTAGCATATTACGCTTAGTTATTATAGATTAGGTTAGGAGACTACAAGAAGGCAGAATGGGCTTAGTGCAAGTATTATGAAATCTAACCTGAAATCAGACTAGTATAGCTCTTAGCAATGAGTAGGGAACCCTTTGGGAATGGAATTTTGAGTTTGAGGATTCAAATTTGATACTAATTTTTTTTATACCGATTCTTGATATGTTAGAATTTCCCATCTCTAACCTGTCCCAAATTGAAAAATAGAACATAGAAATCTCCATTTCCCTTTCTAAAAGCCTATTGTTGGGACTGGCTGTGTAAATTAGTAATGTTTTAAGACAGTCTCACGATTTATGCAAATGTACATTCCTTACCTGTCCCTGCCCTTTCATGAGCTATCCTGACTCACTGATTGCATCCTGGCTTTCTCTGACTTTGCAGTTACTTAAATTTAAATTAACATGAACACATCACCCTTATACTTTTGCTCTAAATCTAATCTTTTCCCCCCCGTTTGGTTTGCGGATTTACTAGTATAAGTGGCTTCTAGAGTAACGCTGGGTTTTCTGTCTGTGTTGGGAAAAAAATGTCACGATTGTGAATTACGTTTTCAGATAACTATTGTCAGGTTTAGGGTTTTTTGCTTCAGAGGCTAGAAGATTATACTGTACCTATTCTCAATTAGGATTAATTATTTTAACTAATGAAACAGTATCTAGTAGCATTTGAACCTTTCTTTTTTTTCCATTCTAATTTATGTAATTAAGGTAATCATTAGAACATAGTGACTGGGAAGAGGAGTTAATTATGAGAAAGTGTAGGTTTAAGACTTCTAATAAGACAACTGTAACTCCAAACTAACTTTCTAAATTTCAGGATTGGTCATCAGTACAAGTAGTATGATGCTGGGAACTTCCCTGTCCCCTCAGGAAGCAATTTTTGCCTGATGCTTTCTGGCCTGATGGGTCCTCTGAGCTCTGAGGCTCAGGTGGTGAGGCTGGACTTGAATCCAGATCTTGAAATCTCATACCACATTTTCTAAGAGTATCGTGGAATGAACTTATTCAAGAAATATTTATCAAGTGCCTCTTGGCCCTCATGGAGCTTACCTTTTAGTAGCTATGATTAATCTGATGAATTCTTATTTTTTTAAAAAGGTTCTTATTTTTATATTTTATGTTTTATATTTTATATTTCAAGTATAGCTCACCATAAAACAGGGCATACTACATGCTGACTTAGAACAAAAGTAAAAATACTACTGGCAAATAAATTCAGTGCCATTATGTTAATAAGGATCCAGGTATGTAAACTAAAGGATCCAGGTCAGCTAAAGATCTGAAGAAATACAGGTGATATCTGGAAATGAGAACATAAAAAATAAATGTATTTTTCAGAATTGGGAATTTTTAGGTCAGGATTTTATTGCTGGGAGAGACCGTGCGATTCTTCCAAAACAGTGATTCTCACTGGAGCAGAATGAGGCAGGATGAGGGTATGCCTGCCCCAGAGGGGAGCTGTGCAAAGTCTCAGGGGGGCTTTTTCAGTGTGCAGTTCCCTCCTCTGGATGTCATTCTCAAATGCTTCCCTTAGAAGCACCTTCCTATCACCCTCAATCCTGGCCCCGCCAGTCCAACCCCCAGTTCTCAAATTGAAAATTTGCAGAAGTTTAGAACAACTCACCATCTAACTGAATCACTCCTGACACCCTGAGGAAACTCAGAGTTGTGGGCTGACATAGCTCTGCTCATTCCATTCCTGAAGCATTTCAGAAACTCTGGAAGCCAGATAAAGGAGTCTGTCATTGTAGGCTGCTCCTTCAGGCCTCAGGGCTTTTACACAGAATTCTGTGCTGACTATCAGTGACAGTAGAACCCGGGGCTTCATGTCAGGTCTCAATCTTGATGGTAGCCCTAGATGACCCTTGAAAAGTAATTAACTATGTAGTGCCTCAGTTTTCTCATCTAATTAAGTGAATATTACTTTATACCTCGAGATAGTTTTTTAATATTTATGAACAAATAGTTGATACCTGTAGCCTTAGATTTCCCTCATTTTTTGAATAGTGGGGAATCTATAGGCTTATGAAGCTGAGGGTATGCATTGCTTTGATTACCTTATCAACTATTTGATTCAGAAAACACCTACTTGCCCATGTGATTAAAGAAGTTACCTAGTTTAATAGGATGAATCCCCCAATAACTAAGAAATTTGAAAACAGGGAGAACAGATGCTTTTTTTTTAATACACAATTTTTTAGAGCAGTTTCAGGTGCACAGAATAATTGAGCAGGAGGTACAGAGATTTCTCATGTACCTGCCTCCCCCACTATCAACATCATGTAATAGAGTGGTACATTTATTACAGTCATGGACCTACAATGGTACATCATTATCACCCAAAGTCTATAGTATACTTTAAAGTTCACTCCTGGTGTTGTATACTCTCTGGGTTTTGACAAATGTACAATGACATGTATCTACCACATTAATAGTTTCACTGTCCTACAAACCCTCAGTGCTCTGTCTATTCATTCTCTCCCCCGCCCCCCTCAACCCCCCCAACCCCTGACAACCACTGATCTTGCTACTGTCCCTACAGTTTTGCCTTTCCCAGAATGTTACATGGTTGAAAGCATACACTATGAAGCCTTTCCAGACCGGTTTCTTTTACTTAGTAATATGTATTTAAGGTTCCTCCACATCTTTTGTGGTTTGATAATCCATTTCTTTTTAGTGTTGAATAATTTCATTTCTAGTAGGTGTATAGTGGTATCTTGTTGTTTTAATTTGAAATTCCTTGATATAGGATATTGAGCATCTCTTCATATGCTCTATACCTGTGCATCTTCTTTGGTGAAGTATCTATTGAGGTCTTTTACCCATTTTTAATTGGGTTTGTTTCCTCATTGTTGAGTTTTAAGAGTTCTTTATAAATTTTGGATAAATGTCCTTTATCAGATATGCCTTTTACAAATATTTCTTCCTGGTCTGTGGCTTGTCTTCTGCAATGTCAAGAACAGAAGTTTTTAATTTTAATGAAGTCCAGCTGATTAATTATTTCTTTCTTGGGTTCCTTTTCTTTGATATTTAATAGAAAAAAGTCATCTCCATATCCAAGATCATAACGATTTTTCTCCTATGTTATATTGTAGGAACTTTATAGTTCTGCATTTTACAGTCTATGATCCATTTTGAGTTAATTTTTGTAAAGGTGTAAGGTCTGTGTCTAAATTCTTTTTTTTTCCCTTTTCCGCGCATGAATGTCCAATTATTCCATCACCATTTGTTGAAAAGCCTGTCTTTTCTTCATTGTATTTCCTTTGCTTCTTTGTCAAAGATCAGTTCACTATATTTATGTAGGTCTATTTCTGGGTTCTCTCTCTTTTCCGTAAGTCTATTTGTTTTGTATTGTATATATATTTTTAAAGAAATTGTATATAATAGAAATGAAAAAGAGCCCGTGTACTGTGGATATTCCCATTTCAGATGCATAAAACACACACACACACACAAAGATCCATGATACTACAGAGGTGCTGAATGACGTTTGGCATAATGATAGTACTAGCAAAATTATTCTAAAATGTCGTTCAGTTCCACATAGATTCCTGATAAAATTGACCCTTTTCTTAGGTAACATATACCTTTACTCTAGACACACATGTTCTCTTCCTTAAGATACAGTAACACAAAAATGGTCATTTGTTTTACACATGAAGATGATCTGACATGTTGCAGAACTAGAAATTCCACTTTATGCCAAATTTGCATTAGTTTCTAATTGTTTAAACAAAGAATTCTGAGGAGAGTGTGTGGTGAAATTCTACAGGTACAAACCTGTCATGTGCCTCAAGTTTTCACTTAATTTGGAGGAAAGTGGTGGGGAAAGTGAGCAGTAACAATTTGTGGACTTACAGTATAAAATGAGAACATTATATAGGTCCTGCAAAAACAGTTAGTTGGTTAATTGGTTGTTTGTTGGATAATGAAACAAATGAATGAATAAGTAATAAATATTCTGCCTTGTTCTAAAAAGGGTTTAAGAATTGAAATATTTTGCCCTAGCCGATTTGGCTCAGTGGGTAGAGCATCATCCCACAGACTGAAGGGTCCTGGTTTGATTCCAGGCAAGAGCACATACCTTGGTTCCAGGCTTGATTCCCAGCCTGGGTCATGTGCCTATGGGAGGCAACCGATCAATGTCTCTCTCACATTGATGTCTCTGTGTCTCTCCCCATCCCTTCCACTATCTCTAAAAAATAATCAGTGGATAAAACATCCTTCATGAGGGTTAACAAAACAAACAAAAACAAAAAACTGCAAGGTTTTCAAATCATCAGGGCCTCATGAAGCCTCATATGATAATTTCCCCAGTATTTTCAAATAGAAAAAGATCACAACTGATTCTTGTTTTCTGCACTGACTGCACATGTACCTTCCCTAGTGAGGACTATGAAATTATTAGAACAAAGCTTCTGGAAAAAATAAAATCTTATGTAATTTTCACTCCTAATTTCTAGCAGAAATTCCCTTTAGCCAATTATTGTCCCATTCCTTTCTGACCTGTGGTGCCACTGTATGCTACCTAGCCTCTTTAGATCATTTAGTTAAGAACATTTGTTCAAGTGAGACCATGTAGGATATTAGCCAGACTTGTTGACTTCACATCTTACCATATGGCCTTGGACATGTTACTTAACTGTACTGTGCTTCAGTTTCCTCCTATTTAAAATATAGATAAAAAACCTCACCTGAAACCTGTATGATCATGTTGACCAATGTCACCCCAATAAATTTACTAAAAAAATAAAATGTAGATAATCATTGTAATTAGATCATAGGGATATGAATGTGTGTTTTGTTTATCGTATTTATTTTTAAAACCTTTACATAGTACTTACTATGTGTCAGGCACTAAGTACTTTGCTAATAGGAACTCATCTTTTATGGCAAAAGGTACATTAAAAATACAATAAAAGTAAAATATACATTAATCTGGAAAATAATTTTATCATATAATTGGGTATTAAAATCTGACTTGGGCCCTAGCCAGTTTGGCTCAATGGATAGAGAGTCCTGGATTCGATTCCAGTCAAGGACACGTACCTCAGTTGCAGGCTCCTCCCTGGTCCAGGCCCTGTTTGGGGCTCATGCAGGAGGCAATCAGTCAATGTATTTCTCTCACATTGATATTTCTCTCTGTCTTTCCCTCTTTCTTTCCCTCTTTCTAAAAATCAATGGAAAAATATCCTTAAGTGAGGATTTAAAAAATCTAATTTGGTAAGAATAGCTGTAGAGATAAACAGTTTAAGGGGTAAGTGGGTACAAAGGATGTAAACAGGCTCTTAACAGAAAAAGAAATGCGACAGCCAATAAACATGGAAGGATGTTTAGCAGCACTATTAGTTTGGCTAATGCAAATTAAAACTATAAGATGCCATGTTATGCTCATCAGATTATAAAAACTAAGAGCAATAGTCTGCATTGCTGATGTATTTATTAACTTAGAAAAGGACCTATATACATGGTAAGTATTCAATAAATGTTTTTTGTTGTAATTACTCAACAGTGGCTGTTAGTGACAGACTCAGGCTACCTGCTGATTACACCAGCAACCAGATTTTCTCCCCACCCCTTTCACTCAGGATGTGTTGCCTTATGTTCAAGTCATGTTAACATTTGCCATTTTTCATTTCATTTTGTAGTTGAATTCAAGTGATTTTGCTGTCCTGAAGCAATTGCTGCCTCTGTTGGAGAAGGTCTCCATCACACACCCGGACCCTGTCATCCAAGAACTCGCTGCTGATCTCCGCATCACCATCTCTACCCATGGAGCCTTTTCTACCGAGGCTGTCAGTGTGGCTGCCCAGAGTACCCTGAACAAAAAGGACCCAGAAGGGAAAATAGAAGAGCAGCAACAAACCAGTCATGAAAGATACACTGATGTGTCGCAAAACCACCTCGAACAACAGCAAAGCCACGAGAAACCCAATCAAACTGGCCTGAAGTCTAGTGCTCCGCTCATTCCTCAGGAGGTCAGTGAGTCCAGCACTACTGCAAACCAGAAATCTGGAAGCATAACCACAGAACAGCTCCAGGAAGTTCTTTTATCTGCTTATGACCCTCAAATTCCAACACGGGCTGCTGCCCTGCGGACTCTTTCTCGCTGGATAGAACGGAGGGAAGCAAGAGTCCTTGAGGTGCAAGAGAAGCTTCTCAAGGTGAGGAGAGCATCCTACAGAAACACACACGGGTGGGGCAGCTTCCCAGTGTCTTACTGTGTATCAAGTCCTGTCCTGGATTACTTGCAGGGAACTTGTAATTGTCTGAGGAGATAAGACTTAGACACAGGAGAGACCCAGATAGCCACACAAGGCTAAATTGAACATGAACAGAGTACCAGAATTTTTACAGGCAAGAAATACCGTGGACAGTCAGGAAAAGGAGAGAGTTGAAATCTGGAGGAAGTATCTTTTGATATGGCCTTAACAAACTAGTAAAGTCTGAGCAGGTGAAAGAAGAGGGGCTGGAACAGCATGAGCAAATTCCCAGAGATGGGAAAGTACCTTTCTGGTAAATAGACACTGTGACCAGCCAGATAAACCACCTGTTTTCTCTGGGCCCCTTTTAAAGGGGCATTAGGACTGGGTCTGCTCCCCTCTACTCCCTCCATCACAGTGAAAAAACACACACGTTGTTCTTTACATCATAGATTTATGTGGGAGAACATATATGCTTAGCTGGGGATCTTTTCTCTTTGTGGAAATTATCCTGACCTCAGTATGAGTTAAGAGCAAATGACCTAGAGCAGCAGTCGCCAACCTTTCGGACCTCATGGACCACCAGTGGTCCGCGGACCACCGGTTGATGACCACTGATCTAGAGACTACTGACCAAATTCTATATCATTTTCTGGACAAGTCACTTAAACTTTCTGAGCCTCAATTTCTAAATTGTTAAAGTGAGGGTCCACTTTATGTTGAAAGATTTAAAATAAAATCGTCCATGTAAAGCACTAATCATAGTGACAGGCACATAATGAGCATCAAATAAAGGTTAGCTGTTGTTATTATCTCTTCAATATGGTTAAGCCATTAGAGTAAGAATTGTAATTCTGATTGAAACCATTTATTTTTAGCCACTGAAGTATTAGAATCAACAGTATAATAATAATTGCTATTTATTGAGACAGGCCCTATACCTTTCAGACATTGTCTGTAGTCCTCACAACAACTGCAATATTGGTATTATCCCCCACTTTGTAGATGAGAAAAGCGAGGAATGGAAATGTGCCAAGGATCTGTTGTCATTAAAATATTGCTGAAAATGTTAAATTTTATATCTTCTTTGAGTAATCATTTAAAAAAAAAATCCCTTCATACCCCTATTTAGATGGTGAATTCAGTGAACATCTTTGGGATTTTTAAAAATTCATTTAATCTTCATCTGCTGTACATAATAGGTCATCAAGGTCCTGTCAGTTCTTTTTCCAAGAAACCTTTCAAATCAATCTCTTCCTCTTTATTCCCATGGCCATTACCTTGGATTAAGTAAGCTTCCTTTACTTCATATATGATCCCCACCCCTTCCAACCTGGCCATCTTCCCAAATGAACTAATCTTAGGCTTTCCCTAACATGCTGCACATGCAGAGACCAGCAGCATTAGTTGATATCAAGAATCGCTGGTACAGGGATGCATCACTACACATGGTACAGGCACCCCAGTCTTCCCCTAGACACCAAGCAGGAGGCACATGGGCACATGGCCACTGTCTTTCTCTTGCCCTCACATTAGGGCCTAAACCCAACATGTCACTGTCATGTCTTCTGGATAAGCAGTACCCATAGTAGCTGACACGCCCTGATGTGTTCCTAAATTGTAAGATGTGTTGAGAGTCATTTGTTACTAATGTCAATTGAAGTGCTGAAATTTGGAAAAGATTTTAAAACATAAATTAGAACAGATTTAAAGTTATCCCAATAATAATGTTTCTGTCACTTACATTTTGATATGCTTTCTGAGTGTAAGAAAAAAGGATCAAATTACAGCAAATGTGCCATCAACTGGATATTACTCCAAACCTGGCCTTTTGTGTGTCATGCCTGTAGTCTGTCATGTCATATTGAGAACGTTGTCCACCATGAGTTGTGATGGGAAAAATGGTGAGGACTGCTCCCCCAGATTCTGGTTTCCAGGCCTACTCCTAGTGTATGCTTGACTACTTATCTTAATCATTACCCTTTCTTAATTTTTATAAAAATGGGACTTCAAACTTATATAGTGTTTTCTCCACAAGACTTTAAAAGTTAGACCAATGTCTAGCTATAAGACAGATAAGAAGCATAGCATTTGTTCTTTTGAAGCTGCTCTTTGTGAGTCATATCACTGCTGTATTTTGTGGTTCCAGATATTCTTGGAGAACTTGGAGCATGAAGATGCCTTTGTATATCTGTCTGCTATCCAGGGTAAGTTAGTCCTCATTTAAGAACTCTGAATCTGTGGACCAAAGAGTCTGTCATGTATATTTGCACAAAATCTCTAAAGTCATGGAGCCACAAGGCTGCTAATCATTCTGTGGCTCTGCTAAACATGTTCCTGATTTTCCCTGGATGGGTGGCCTAGCAGGGCATGTTCCCATGGTGTAAGAGAAGGTCAGAGAGCAGAAGTATAAGAGAGCAAGAATAGACTTGAGAGACCTCTTCAGGCCTAAGCTTGGAACTAGAATCCTATTGCTTCTGCCTCATTCTGTTGACTAAGGCAAGTTATGTGGTCTAATCCAAAAGTTAAAGGGTAGAGAAATATTCTCTGTCCCTTTAGTGGGATAAACTGCTAAATCACAGGGCAAAGGGCATGGATGCAGGAAGGGGTAAAAGATTGAAGCCAGTAATGCTGTGTTCTGTTTATCTGCAAAAGGCAAAGTTCTCTGTGAGCACAAAGGCATATACGGCTACTTATTTTGTGGTATAATTTGAGTATAATTGGCTCTCTACAGAGCTAGAAGTTGAAGCTTAAGAAAGGGTACAAAGGGGAAATTATACAGTGATGAAGGCCTTGGGATTTACTCTTTATTCAGCAAACATTTATTGTGCACCTATTATATACAAAACTAGAGGCCCGGTGCACGAATTCGTGCACCAGTGGGATCCGGCTAGCCTGCCCTGATCAGGCCAGCTGGTGGGAGGAGCTGTGGGCGGTTGGCCAGCTAGCCCCACACCCTGATCGAACTCCTGGTTGAACTCCCATTAGAACTCCCGGTCGAGGGGACAATTTACATATTAGCCTTTTATTATATAGGACATTTGAACAGTGAGTTGTGACTAGGTTAAAAAGCAAAATGATAACCCAAAGAGGTAAAGGATAACTATGTGAGAGCAGAAACTGAAAGAGTAGAAGGTTTCAAGAGAGAAAATCATTACCTGCAGCTGAGAAGCTGAAGAGTCCAGGAACTGTGATAATTCTGGAGGCCCGATAGAGCTCAGGAAGCCACATGACAATCATGGTACTTATTGGAATTAAATAAATCAATGAAGTGCCTATAATTAAAATGCCTATAATGAGTAAGGCTCAGAAAAAAGTCATCTTGTACTTTTCCTGAGAAATTGTAATACTGTAAAGATGTGAAGATGTTTTTCATTGATTTTTTTTTTTTAGGGCTGGGTTTTGGGAAGCCTCCTTGTGTCATTCTAATGTGGCAACTTGCTGTTTGGCATAAACTTCTTAGCTGATTAACCCGCTGAGCTCATTAGCCCCGAGGGTCTGCTATAAAAATCACAACTGTTGGTTTTGTGTTTGTATTTAGTAATTTTAATTGGTGTGCTAATCAGTTAGTAGCTAATTTGGTGATGAAGAACATGGGAGGTAGAGGTGTAATTTCTGTTCTCAGCTCCCCTCGATGGGCAAGTTTGAATTAATTGATGTTTTTGGTGTTTGTAACATACACTTATAGGCCAAGGCCTTAGGTGAATTTCCCATTAAGAAAGGAAAGAACTAAATTTTCCCACCTGTGTTGCCAATGTCCTTTGCCCAGGCTAAAGCACTCCAGGAGCCAAGCCATTCTGGACTTCCAGTCAGACAAGACCAGCCCACTTGTAAATGTCCTGCAGTATTAGGAGCTCTTGGCTGTGGTTCCAGTAGCATTAGTTTGGGGGAGTGTGTGTGTGCATGTTTAATATTTTCCTTTTCTAGGCTGCCTAAATGGCTCCATTTGAAAGTTACAATGTACCTTTTGCTTAATTTATTGATATTTTGTATTTCTTTTTTGTTTTATCTTTGGATTTTTTTTTTTTGTAATTTCTTACCACTTTGCAGTCTAGGCATAGATTAGAGAAGAGAAGTAAATAAGATCACTCAACAGATATTTATTGATGCCTGATATAGGAATTTCTTATGTGTGAGTTAAATTTTAATTTTATGGAAGATTGTCTACATCTCCTTTTAGCCCTCATAAGAAAGTGATGGTTGATTTAGTTCTCATGGCAGTTGCCCCCAGGTACTCAGCAGCTTCTGCAGGCAGAGAATTATATACCAAGTAGCTGAGTTTCAGTTACAATCCAGAGTTTATAAACGGAAGACTTAATCTTAGACTATTACCATTAAGTGTCTCCCCTTTTTAGACTCCTTATATATTCTTTTGTTCATTGTTTTATCATTATCATTATTACACAAGTTAATATATTATTTTTTAATCCTCTCCTGAGGATATTTTGATACTGTTTTTTAATTGAGTTTTTAAAAAGAGAGGAAGAGAGAGAGAAACCAAGATGGCAGCATAGGTAAACACCGGAAATTGCTGCCTCGCACAACCACTTCAAAAATACAACTAAAAGACAAAACAGACATCATCCAGAACCACAGGAAGGCTGGCTGAGTGGAAATTCTACAACTAGAAGGAAAGAGAAAGGTACACTGAGACTCAGAGGAGGTGCGGAAGTGCAGAGGTATGGAGGCACACGTGGAAAGGGTTGGCAACTGAGGACGTGGTTGTCTTTTTCAATCTGGAGGGAGTCTCAAGCTCCCGACTTCTCTGAACTCCAGTTCTGGGTGAGTCTCTGGGGACCCAGACTCATACGGGGAGAAACTGGACTGTCTGGCAGCGGGCAGAACTTGAGGGCAGCTTTCTCTCAGAGGTGCTTGCAGCGATTACCAGGACACTGAGACCCAGGGGCCTCTTAGGGTAGGACTGAGGATCATCCATAGCTGTTTGCTCCGCCCTGTTGATTCCCTGAGACCCCGCCCCACCCAAGCTTCGACAGAGGCTTTTGCATATGAATGCCCTGGCCCTTCACAAACTGAAAATTACCTAACAAACTGCAGCTGGGTCAGAGAGACCCAGAACATCCAAAAGAAGGTCCAAGGCCCCACAGCAGCTTGCATTGCTTCACAGTTGGGCCTCATCTGGGCACCTCCAAACCGCAAACAAGGAAGAGGAATCTGCAGACCTCTCAGTAGCTCCTGCTGGGTAGCCTCAGGCAGAGGCTAAATTAGCACCTCCTTAAAGATCCAAGAGCCCGTGTACCCCGTGGTCAGATTGGGACCATCCAGATTACAACTCCTCAGATCTACAAGGGACACACTCAGGGGGCAGACTCAGTGAGCACCAAAGCCTTACTGAAGCAAGTCTTGCCCAATAAGGGTGTCTTCAGCACAGAAATTCTCCCACTATAGACACAGCTGATCCTCACAGCCAATTGGCCTGGAGGTCAATTCCTTCCAGTGATACCAACAACAATCAAGGCTTAACTACAACAAGACTGTGCACACAGCCCACAAAGGGGTGCACCAAGAGTGTCCATCTCAGGTAATTGGGGAGGCTGAGCCACTGGGCCCTATAGGACACCTAGCACACAAAGCCACTCTATCAACGCAGGGAAGCAGCCAAAATGCGGAGACACAGAAACAGATCACAAATGACAGAAATGGAAGAAAGCAAACTACCGGATATAGAGTTCAAAATCACGGTTATAAGGTTTTTCAAGAATTTTCTAGAAACTGCTGATAAATTTAGTGAGACCCTCAAGGATATGAAAAAGGACCAACTAGAAATTAAGCATACACTGACTGAAATAAAGAATAATATACAGAGATCCAACAGCAGACAAGAGGATCCCAAGAATCAAGTCAAAGATTTGAAATATGAAGAAGCAAAAAATACCCAACCAGAAAAACAAAAAGAAAAAAGAATCCAAAAATATCAAGATAGTGTAAGAAGCCTCTGGGACAACTTCAAGCGTACCAACATCCGAATTATAGGGGTGCCAGAAGAAGAGAGAGAGCAAGATATTGAAAACGTATTTGAAGAAATAATGACAGAAAACTTCCCCTACCTGGTGAAAGAAATAGACTTACAAGTCCAGGAAGCGCAGAGAACCCCAAACAAAAGGAATCCAAAGAGGACCACACCAAGACACATCATAATTAAAATGCCAAGAGCAAAAGACAAAGAGAGAATCTTAAAAGCAGCAAGAGAAAAACAGTCAGTTACCTACAAGGGAATACCCATACGATTGTCAGCTGATTTCTCAACAGAAATTATGCAGGCCAGAAAGGAGTGGCAAGAAATATTCAAAGTGATGAATACCAAGAACCTACAACCAAGATTACTTTATCCAGCAAAGCTATCATTCAGAATTGAAGGTCAGAGAAAGAGCTTCGCAGATAAGAAAAAGCGAAAGGAGTTCATCACCATCAAACCAGCATTATATGAAATGCTGGAAGATATTTTTTAAGAAGAGGAAGAAAACGAAAAAGGTAAAGGTAAAAATTATGAACAACAAATACATATCTATCAACAAGTGAATCTAAAAATAAGGAGAATAAAAAATCTGATGAACAGAGTGAACTGGTGAATATAATAGAATCAGGGGCATAGAAAGGGAGTGGACTGACAATTCTCGGGGGGGAAAGGAGTGTGGGGGGTGTGGGAAGAGACTGGACAAAAATTGTACACTTAATGGATGAGGACAGTGGGGGGGGGGTAAGAGCAGAGGGTGGGGTGGGAACTGGGTAAGGGGAGCTATGGAGGGAAAAAAGAGGAACAACTGTAATAATCTGAACAATAAAGATTTATTTAAAAAAATAAAATGTTAAAAAAATAAAATAAAATAAATAAAAAGAGAGGAAGAGAGAAAGAGAGAGAGAGAGAGAAACATTGATGTAAGAGAAACATCAATTGGTTGACTCCTGTAGGTGCCCCAACGAGGGATCAAACCTGCAACCTAGGTTTGTGCCCTGAATGGGAATCGAACCTGAAACTTTTTGGTGTATAGGATGATGCTCCAACCAACTGAGCCACCCAGCCAGAGAAGTTAGTATGTTCCTATTATTTAAAAAAATTTTAAATGACAAGGAAGTATAAAAGGTAAAAAGTACAAGTCCTATTTTCAAAAATTGGAGTTAAAATATGTCCTTGAGAGTCCCATAATTCATATTCCATGTTTTGGGCATTTTCACATTTCAGTTTTAAATA